GATCCGTGGGAAAGAGTAAATATCCTGAGAAGCTGGTCTCTGAGAAAGAAATCTGCTTGGTGAGGATTGTGGGTCAGACAGATGCAGCAGGCTCCGGGCCATTCCCAGTGTCTATCCTCCCCTTCTGTCTCAGAAATAGGACCTTCAGTTTTCAGTCGGGCACGTGGTCCTCTGGCACAAAGGCTATATTTCCCATTGTCCCTTGCAAGGAGAGGAGGTCATGTGACCAAGTTCTGTCCAATGAGGGATAAGTGGAACTCTCACGTGATATTGATGGTAAATGTCCTTGAAGGGTACAGCAATGCCCTGCTCAGACCTTTTTTTCTTCATACTGAGGCAGAAGTCCACTCTGAGGATATCAGAACTGTAAGAAAGAAGTCTAAATCCCAAGCAACTTCATACAGCCTCATCCCCTTCACTGCCCCAATCCTGAGCTACTTATCTCTACGCTTTTAATGTGAAAGAGAATAGACTTGCATCTTGCTTACACCGCTGTTATTTTGGCTTCTGTACTTGAATAAATGGGTAAGGAAATGATGATGATAGATTAAAAAACATTTCTTTAGCTCTAAGTGCAGCTTTAAAATAATACTAGCATCCCCTAATGTGGGTTTTCTCATTTTTTTCTCCAAAATGTCAATTAAGACACGAAGAAAGGGAAATTTACAACATTACAAATGAGGACTGAGTCAACCTATTTGAGAGGATTTTCCAATAATTCCTTCATTTACTCAGCGACTATTTTTTAAAAAATTCGTATTGTGTACCAGGCTGTTTAAACCCAGGAAATGTAGTGGTGAACACAACAGATAAAGTCCCTGCCTTCATGAACCTTCTATTCTAGCAGCAGAATACAGACCACAGACAAGAAAAACAAGGAAATGCAATGTCAGGTCACATAAGTAAGTGAAGAAAAGGCATAATAGAAGAGTAGAAAATGATAGATGCAAATTATAGATGGTGTGGTTAAGGAGGCCTCTTGGAGAAGTTGACATGAGCAGACTCCTGAAAAAAGTGAGGGTGGCAGTCCAGGAGGTATCTGGAAGAGCATCCAAGACAGAGGGAACAGCATGTACATAGGTGAGAGACAGAAACATCCTGGTATGTTCAAGATAGTGTGCCTACAGAGAATTGAGTAGGAAAATAAGATATTGGGGGCTTGTCAGATGCCAGGCAGTGCAGGACAAATTGGTAGGAGGTCACATGTAGTCGGACTAAAAGACATACTTTGTGGTCCACTCTGAAAAGAAAATGCCATAAAAAGATGGCATCGTCCTGCCACTACCGTCTATGCTTGATTCTGGAATTATCACATCTGTCCTCATCAGAGAATTGGGCAGACACCTTCTCTTATGGGTGATTTTCACCAAAGTGCGTCTTCATACAGTCAGAGGCTGCCACCTCCAGAGAACATTGCTATCTCACTTAATGCTCTGGCTGGATGCTGGTGGAGTAGAGTGAACTGACAATGTACTTTGAACCTTGGGAGGGGCCATCCTTGCAAGTCAAGCACCATAGTTTGGGTGGAGATGGAAGAATTTCAATGCAGTGGTGCTGTAACCTGTGATTGTTACAATGGCATTTCAGAGTAAGTGTGAGAATGCCAGGCACTGGGAGTAGGTGAGGATACCGTCTCTCCAAGAGCATCATGCAATCTAATGATCGTGGATTGAGTGAGACACTGAATTTGGCCATGCCATCCAATTGTAAGGTTGAGAGCCCCAGCGACGAGGACAACAAGATGGAAAGCAGCACAACTGAACTTTTGGGCAACACGAGGTCTGGAAATTTCCTGTAAACTTGAGATAATTACCAGAGAAATCATTAAGATATGTCTTGTGGTAAGTTTCTGAGAGGCAAAGTAAGAAAAATGTTGTTTCAAAGACTTAGAGGAAGAAGAGCTCTATAAAAATACTTGTTCCTGGAATTTAAAAAAAAATTCCAGGGAAGAGATTGTTTGTATAAAATCAGTGATATTACAATGTATCAGCAGAAATAAAATCTACATTGGTAGCCGGAAACCACAGGATTGCCATGGCAGACACTGGCGTCAGTGGCGAGAAGGACAAACTTGACCTCCAGAATGCACGGGAAAAGAAAAAAAGATTCAAGGAAATAACAAAGAGATTTATTTAAGAGGCATAGACTTCAGAAGAAGCTACCAGTACAATAGGAACAAAATAGTCATTAAATGTACCAGTTTAAAATACAAGACTGACTATCCAAATTGAAAAACTTGTCATTCTTGATAATAGTCATGCCAAGGGAGCTATTCTAGAAATATCCTGGCATAAGTTTGGGAAGGCAGGTGTAGGAAAATGTATAGAGTCTATACTACTCAGTGATTTATCACAGAAACGAATAACTGAGTACCACATGTTCTTACGCATCAGTGGACCCTGAACATTTACCATAATACTATAAGAAAAGGATAACCGGAAACTGCCAGAGGACTGAGGGGCACATAACCTCAATAAGGGTACCTGATCTCAAACCAGGCGAAGTGGTGACGAAAGGGAGGCCCAAGCTTTACCTGTACCATGACACTTGTATACCTAATCCTGAATTGTACTCCACATCTTTAAAATAAAATTAAAAATTAAACAAATAAAAAGAAAGAAAACAGTCATCACCTTCAGCCATAAATCAAGTCACTTACAAAAAACAAACAACTGGCTGACCTCAGCCCTCTAATAAGAAATGTCAGAAGATTGCAAAAAGATACCTGCCATGTTGGAAGAAAAAAGATTGTGATCTAAGAATTTTCTGAGCTGAATTTTTTTTTTCATACATGAAGACAACAGGTAAACAGCCCCAAATAGTCAGGCTTAGAAAATACAACATTCATGTACCCTCAAGGAAACAGCACTTGATGTACAATAGACACCTGAAAGATGGGACAGAAGAACAGGGCAGAGGTCACACACAGTTCCCGGCACTGCGGAAATGTTACAGAGCCAAGGTGAAGAACCAGAGAAACAGGCTGTGTCTCACAACTGGACTCCCAGGCCATAATTTGTACCAACTTGGTTCCCAGTACGTTGGAAAGCACCCAAACAATCATACAGTGTCAGCACTTACTAATGTCGGGGTCATTCTCATGCAAGCTCATTGAACCCTCTGAAACTATGTGAGATAAGAATCGCTGTTGCCATTTTGCACACGGAAACTAAGACAGAAGAAGTAAGCACTTTCCAGGCTAGCAGGTACCAGCGTCAGGAGTCAGGTTTCATAGTCTACAAGATTAAGCTTAAGCTGTTCAACCTCTAACATGACTTCCGAGGTGTACTGGAGTTCACTCCTAAACTCTCGGTAGACAAAAGAAGATGAACTTTGCTTAAGTAGCATTTTTCCTGCTTTAGAGCTGCAGGCTTTGACGAAGTTCTCAGAAGTGGATTCCATTCCCAGAAGGGGCCTGGAGCTGTATTTCCCTGTGTTATTCCAGTGGGTTGCTGTACGTGTATATAGAGGTAATAGTTTAAATACATGTTATATGTAGACATGTATACACACTATAACATATATCAGTATAGTACATTTCACACAGGTAGGACATAATTTCAAACCACGTATTTACTTAAGTGATTGAATTACTTGGGTTTAACTTCTATTTCCCTCTTTATTTCCTTCTGAAAATTTTGTACAAATAATATCTGTTAACAACAATTAAAATCCAAAACAGCTTTTTTCATACAGTGGGCTGGACTCAGTGCACTCTGCAGACTGTTTTTCTAGGATCAACTGTACGTTATAAAGATGTATGAATTTCAACAAGGCCAGCCTGACAGGCCACAGCTGGGTCATATGGTAGGAGGGTCCCTTTCAGAGGGAAAACCTGGGATTCACGGTACTTCATGAGCGTGATTCATGTGGTCCTCAGGGACATTTCAAGGAAAGCCACTTAAAGCCACATGTCCTGAGTGCTGCCAATGGACACGGCTTTCCCTCCCGCAGGTTTTCACATCTTCATGTCTGCGTCCACACCTGCACTTGCCAGGAACTCACTTCAGCGTGTGGCCTCTACAGATTGAGCAGAAATGAAGAGAACGAGCGGACCCTGAGTAGAAGTCTCAAACTCAGACCAGCCTGGGCCACTTGGTGAGACCTCGTCTCTCACGCTAAATCAAGAATAAGCGGGACGTGGTAGTGCCTGCCTGTAGGCCCGGCTACTTGGAGACTGACACGGAAGGATCACCTGAGCCCAACCGGTTGAGGCTGCGGTGGCTGTGAGCGTGCCACTGGGTGACAGTGAGACTCCGACTCAAAAACAAAGCAAACGAACAAGAAACAATGTCGTCCCCTGGGCGAGGGACTCACCTCTTCTACAGCCGTTTCCTCATTTGAAGAGTGGGGGAAATTCCTGGCTGAGGGGTAATAGCGAGAATGCCACTAGTTAATTCAGACGGTGCCAAGCAGGTCCGCGCCCCGCCCACGGGCTCCTTAAGAAGCAGGGCGACAGAGTGGGCCTCCGACTCAAGCCACACAAAGAAGCAGGTGTTGTCAGTGCGCAGTAACTCCGGTTCCCACCGCAGACCGCGGGCAAGACGGTGGGTGCCCGCGCAGGTCCCCGGCCGCCCGGACGTCCCCCCGGTGGCTGCCCCGCGAGGGACCCGGGGCTCAGCTCCCTGCAGACCGTCCCCGCCTCAGCCTGTCGTCACCCATTCCGTGGAACGAGGCCGC